CAATAGCATAAAAGAGGAAAGTTGTGTGATGAGTTCAAAGAACATTATGATGAATGAATGTAGCCTGAAGGGCAATTCTCAACATGGTTCCTCACCAGCCAAGACACAACCAAAGGACCTGCACTGGATCTGCACAATTCTCATCATGCTAATTGTAGCTATGAAAATTATTTTCTGCTCAAGAAAACATTTGAAATGAAAAGGACTATAATGGTAAAATAGGAAAACTCTTGAGTCTTCAATTATATTAAAGCAGTACATAGTCACTACCTTCAGTATTTTAACTATTATTCTATCGAATTATTTATGACATGCCTTACCACACCAGAGCACCATATGTGGCACTACTGGACTACGGTACTTGATACCAATATAAGCATGATTGTAAGGTCTATTGACACATGTTTATTTAAAGCATTGTGCTATTGACTCTGCTGTTAATAAATGAACAAATGACCCTCTGGAGGAACAGCTAAAATACGTGCTTATTTTCAGAATTCTAGAGGTACATTTTTATTTATAATTGGATAGACTATATTAATTAACTTTATAGACCAGCAAGATTATATAACTTATAGGCTTTGTATTTTTTTTTTTTTTGCGGTACGTGGGCCTCTCACTGTTGTGGCCTCTCCCGTTGCGGAGCACAGGCTCCGGATGCATAGGCTCAGCAGCCATGGCTCACGGGCCCAGCCGCTCCGCGGCATGTGGGATCTTCCCGGACCAGGGCATGAACCCGTGTCCCCTGCATCGGCAGGCGGACTCTCAACCACTGTGCCACCAGGGAAGCCCAGGCTTTGTATTTTTATAATTTTTATTTTTTGCATATATTAAGTATAGTTAGAAGGTATTTCATTGATTGCTCTCCATAATTCTTTACTTTTTAAATTTTTAAAATATTTTTAATTTTTTAATATAATTTTTAAAGGTTTCCATTTACAGTTATTGTGAAATATTGGCTATATTTCCTGTGTTGCACAATATATCCTTAAGCCAATAGTTTGTATCTCCACTCTCCTACCCCTTTTTTGTTCCCTCACCCCCAACTGGTAAGCATTAGTTTGTTCTCTGTAATTGTGAGTCCACTTCTTTTTTGTTATATCCACTAGTTTGTTGTATTTTTTAGATTCCACATATAATAAGTGATATCATACAGTATTTGCCTTTCTCTGTTGGACTTATTTCACATAGCATAATGCCCTCCAAGTCCATCCATGTTGCTGCAAATGGCAAAATTTTATTCTTTATTACGGCTGAGTAGTATTCCATTGTGTATATATATACCACATCTTCTTTATCCATTCATCTGTTGATGGACACTTAGGTTGTTTCCATATCTTGGCAATCGTAAATAATGCTGCTATGAACACTGGAGTGCATGTATCTTTTCAAATTAGTGTTTTTGTTTTCGTTTTAGATATAGTATTTATATACTATAGTTCAACAAGCATTCACAACAATACCATGAGTTATATTAGATTTTTTCAGCTCCAAACTCCTTCCCTAGGAATTCACCCTTCCCCTACCTTCACTTCCTTCAAGAGAGGCAAACCCTGTTAGTGCTCCCTCTCCCACTTCTGGTCTCAGTGATGGGTACATTATTTAGGCCCAGAAAAATTTTGGAGCCTCATTCCCTAGAAACAATGACTGATACCAGGATTAGCACATGATCCTCATGAGGCCACCAGGGTCTTTCTTGCAATTGACATAGAGTTATCACGTGAGATAAGTATTCCTTCCACTGGGAAGCTATTACTTTGGGGATTCCAGCAGCAATCGACTTGATCAGATGAAGAAGATTGTCTGCAAAATTAAGGCAAATAAAAGCAGGCAGAGATTTTGTGTGTGTGTGTGTGTGTGTGTGTGTGTGTGTAAGAGAGAGAGGAGAGAGAGAGAGAGAGATCCAGCTCTACTGACCACCCCAGAGCAGGTACAGTGGGGTAAAACAGAAAATGAACATCATCTTCTTGGGTTGTGTGATTTCTCAGCCTGACAATTATTAGCATCATCTTACTTTAAATTTGGATTCTGTTCGTATATTTCTATCCCTGCCATGCTTTGGGGAATTTGTATTTCTAAAGCACTCTAGCTCAGCCTGAAGCTTCTGTGATTTTTCAAATCTTAAAACAACTCCTCACCCCCCAAAAGTGCACCATCAAGAAACAAGCTACATGGTGATGGATGGAAACTAAACTTTTGGTGGTAAGCACACTGTAGTGTATACAGAAGTAGAAATAATAATGCTGTAAAAACAACAACAACAACAAAAAAAAACAAGCTACAAATACTGCACAGCCCATTGGAAGTGTAGACTCTCCAAAGCCTGCTTCAGAAGCGGTCATGAAGGAAATGGGCAAGAGAAGGCTCCGAGAAAGCAGTCAGGAATATGGCAAGCATATCATGTGCCAGGCACTCTTCTAAGTGTTTTAATCATATTAATTCACACACTGAGTCCTCACATTTACCAACAAGGCAGCTGGAGCCTGAAGAAGGTAAGTAACCTACCCAAAGTCACAAAAAAGCAAAGATCAGAATAAACACAGTCTGGTCTGGATACACACATTAACCACACACTCTGCTTCTTCTCTGAAATGGACAAGAGATTCCTATCAGAGAGAACTAGGGGCTGGCAGGTGAACTAACCAAAGAACTCACACCCTGCCAAGGAGGGAGTCTTTGTAATTCATAGTCAACAGGATATGAACTTTGTAATGTTTCCCATTCTTTTATTTTTCCAAAGGGAATTTTTACTGGGGGAGATGAAAATAACTTGCCTTGTAGTTTATAGGTTATCAGTCCATGGGGGTCAACTTAGGACATAATCACGAGGACTGTGTACCACCCAAAAACCTTGGCCTTTGAGCTGCAGGCAGTAATTGAAGGGACTTTGGAGTCAATTTCCAGGAAGATAATAAGTGGTTCTAAACATAAAAGAAGGGTTTGCACAGATATTTGAATAGCCAAAAGGGCAGAGGTATGGCAAAGACTGCTATTTACCCTCAATATCTGTCCTTACTTTTATATATGTCATAGTATAAAAATCCTAATATTTACCTGAGTCCATGGCCTACCAGAATAAAACCAGTATTTGTCAGGTTTCGTTGCAGAATGAGTTCACTTCCAGAACAAGTTCACAAGAGAATGTGTGACCTCAACATTGAACTCCCCGCTTCCCCTTTACTTGTGACCAATACAGGGTAGAAACTTTACTGCCCACTGATCTATGTTTTGAAAGAGATGATGAAGTTGGAAGTTCCAACCAACTTACAGCTAAAACGTTAAGTTCCCAGAAGCTTATAAGTAAGATTTTTAAAATATAGAGATAAATAGAAATGGCCAGACAAATTACCCTTGAATAAAGCACATGTAGAAAAGGGGACAGAAAAAAAATCACAAAGATTCACCAGAAATATTTATTGTCCATATAGGAGCTAGTGGAAAAAGCTCCACCTCTATCTCTTTTCTATACTATAAGAGAGACCAATTAAATATATAAGCCCTAACCTTTAAGGAGATGAGTATAGGGTTTATACAAAAAGTAGAAGAAGAAACAAGATAATCCGGTGTCCAGAATGAAATGACAACCCACCTCTATTCCATCAAACCTTAATACGAACATGGAACCCTTTGATCCAATTGCGCTATCAAAGCACGTGCGCGCACACACACACACACACACACACACACACCTGTAAGTTTAGCTTCTCTTAAACACAGGAATATTGAGCTTGTATGGTAGGTTATTGCGGTAATATCCTCCAGTTTATTTTTGCCTCCCTGTGTCCACTTGGATAATTCCCTACCATTCTAATTCTGTGTTTGGTCATTTGACTTGCTTCGGCCAATGGAACAACAGTAAATAAGATTCAAGCAGAGACTTAAAAATTGTCTATTGGAGATTTCTCTCTTGCTTTCTAGTAACAATGAGACCACAACCATGTAAACTAGCCAGTTGAAGAATGCAAGTTCTCATGCAAAGAGACCTCAGTCAGCCCAGCTGAGGCCATGACAAACCAGTCCACCCCAACCCAACCCACTAGCTGACTGAAGATGCCTGAGCCATTCCAGCCAAGACCAGTTCAGACCATAAAAACGACCTGGTTTTTCAATTTTAAAAAAGTAATAATTCTTCCAAAAAAAAAAAAAACCCACCTAGTTGAACACAGCCTAAATTACCAAATATTAGATCTATGAGCTAAATAAATAGCTGTTTTGTAAGCCACTAAGTTTTGAGGTTGGTTTGTTTTGCAGCTTAACTGATTTGGGATTTATGGTGTGGCAACATGGTCCTGGGGACATGTGCCCACACATGTGTGGATACAGACTACACCTGCTTTAATCATTTATGATAGGTGCCTGCTCCCACAGGTATTTTAATGAGACCCTTATCTTAAAGTCTTGGAGGCTGCACTTCCAAAAGAAAAGGTAATATTGGTGGTAGATCTGACACTCACTAGCATCACTGTTTCCCAGAAAAGGGGGTCTAGAAATTGGTCCTGTGTCTATATTGACTATGAGGGTCAATCATGCCCAGGAAAATACTCTGTAGGTGGACTGCAGTGTGTAGTATAGGAACTGGTGTTTCTGGAGGAGACCTAGAAGTTTGCAGGTAACACAAAAAATAATGATTTTGTCTTCCCCTCCACCACTTCTTATGGAGAGAATAGGTGGGGGTGTTTTTTCAGAGACAGCTAAGACTTTACAAAGTAGGGAATATAATTGGAAGGCACAACACCCTCCTCCTTCTCTCAGCCCCCTTGGGGAGTATGGAAAACTTCTCTAGAGGAGATTCTGGCTCTGACCAACAGTGAAGTCAGCAGTTGTTCATGGCAGAGAGGGAAGCACATAATGGACACTGGAATCCACATCAGCATGGGCTAGACACAAACTCCCTCTTTCCAAAAATAGCAGGAGAGGAAAGTGACCTTGAAAGGGAGAAGGTGATAACTGGCTAGCACAGGTCATTTCAAGAAAAGAACTTCAGAGAACTCAAATGAATTCTTATGCTTCCAGTTTATTCAACAGAAGAGAGATTAACTCAGTGTGGCCTGGGGCCTGCTTTGCCCCAAGAATGGTTTATGAATGGCTGGGCACAGGCAGCTTTGGTCAGGGGACCGAGAAGAAAAGGCAAGGACTTTCCCCAGTTTCTGCCAACAACAGATCTTAGGATCCTCGGTCCACAGCAGTTTTCTGGATTTTCCTTCTTTAGAGAGAGAGGACTCACTGGAAGGGTTACTGAGTCATCAGAGGAATGATTCCATCAGTGGGAACAAAGGGCTTGTCAAAAGCAAGAGGAGTGTGTCCTGGGGGCGAGATGACAGGACCAGAGAGCAGCATCCAGTTTTCAGCTTCTGTGTGAAGACTAAAGTAACCCACCAGGGGTTCAGGGTCCACCTCAGAAGTCAAATTCTCTTCTCAAGAGTCTCAGTCTGCCCAGCAGGGGTGACTGTCATCTTTCCTGAGGGGATGGTCATATTCTCAGGGGCTTCAGCCTTCCTTCTTGGGGGCATGATTTTCTCTCCAGTCTGAAGATGCATAGGAGCCACAGTTACCCCTCCAGGGGTCACAGCCTGGTGGCCCACAGGGGTGATGGTCTCCTCTCCAGGGGTTTCAGTCTTCCATTCTGCAGCTAGGGGGTGTTTTCCAAAGGACAGAGTTTCCCTTGTAGGGGTCACAAGCCCACCTCTGGGGACTGTGGTCATAGTTTCAGACTTTCTGTGGGTCTCGGTGGCCACAGCCTCCCCTCCTGGGGGCAAGATCCCCAAATCAGTGGTCAAATCCTTGATCACAGTCAGCCTTTCTGGGCCAATTCTCGAAGAATTCACAGCAGTTGAGAGCCAAAATTTTGGTGGAGGAGTTGAGCTGAACTCTAGAGGAAATCATCAGAAAAGGTTGAGATTCCTACCCCTTCCTTCCCATCCTATTACCGGCAGGACTAGACCCACTCCAGGGCTGAAGTACCTGCTCCCAAACCAGAATTGGAGGATTTCCTAATGCACCCACTTGAGGACATAGACAAAATCTCAACACATGGAAGCCCTACTCCCCTACCTCATCATGTTAACATGATCCCAGGGACCCATGGGCACTCAGTGGGTCTGTTACATTTCCAGTGAGTAACCCCAAGGATGAGCCTGCCAGTTCTCTATGCTTAAGCCCTTGATTTGACCTTTGCACCTTGAGTAAGACCTTGCCCCCAAAGCCTATTTCTTACTTGTGGAATCCTCAAGGAGAACCCTTTTGTGTCCCCCCGTCCTGGGAGGCACCAGGAACAAGGCTGAGGGCCAGGAAGCTGCTCTAGACAGCATGCTGTAAAGAATTGGGTTGGAGTCCCATTTCCACCCCTGACTGGCTGTATTATCTTTCTGAGCCCTAGTCTCCTCACAAAATGAGGGTTATAGACCACCTCCAAGATTGTTGCAGCTCTAGCATGCCAGGTTCCATCTCCTAACTGCCAAGGCAGTCTCTACTATCAAAGAGATATCAAAAAGAAACCTAATTTCCTTTTCTGGCTCTTGTTCCATGAAAACAGAAAAAAGAAATAGAGAAATAAACTAACATATATTGTGTTCACTGTGAGCCAGCATGTTTTCATTCCATATCTCATTTAGTTTGTATAATGTCCTGAGTGTAAGGATTACTCCCATTTTGTCGATGGGGAAAACAAAGCTCACAGAGGTCAAATAGAGCATGCATTCAAACCAAGATTAGAAAGCAGACTAGCGTGGCATCAAAGTTTATTCTCCTCTTTCAGTGTCACGTTGCCTCACCAAAGCCTTTAGATCTAACAGAAAGCACGCACCAGTAGCTGGGTGTGCAACAGCCAACCCCAGTTTCCAGGTCATAGCTACTCACCAGCCTTCACCAGGAGATTATTCAATGTGTAGACAAGGGGGAAAGGGCCAGTTCCACAGAAAGTGCCCCTGACGTCATCCAGGTCCAATGTCCACACCATGGCCCCCCCAAAATGCTCTCTCATTATGAAAAACGCCTGTAAAAGCAGTAGTCAGTCAACCCACTGTACTAGGTACAATGGCAAAAACAGATGGGCTCTCAGAAGGCAATATGGCAGGATGGCTAGGCATGCAGTCCCTATCCGAATCTAGCCTCTACTGCTCATGAGCTATGGGATCTTGAAAAAAGTTACATAAGGCTATGTGTCTTAGTTGCCTCACGTGTAAAAAAAAAATGGATAATAACATTTCCAACATTTTTAGGATCCAAAGAACTCCTACATGCACATGTTACAACATGGATGGAACTGGAAGACATTATGGTAAGTGAAATAAGCCGGTTACCAAGAGACAAATACTATGATTCCACTCACAGAAGTACTTAGAGTAGTTAAATTCATAGAGACGGAAGGCAGAGATGGGATTAGCAGGAGCTGCGTGAGGGAGGAATGGGCAGTTATTTAATGGGTGTGGAGTTTCAGTTGGGAAGACTGAAGGAATTACTTGAATTACTTCAACACTTTCTTTGGGAAGAAAGTTCTGAGATGGATAAGGGTGCTAGTTACACAACACTGTGAATGTACTTAATGCTACTGAACTGTAACAAAATGGGTAAAATGGTGACTTTTATGTTGTATGTAATTTGCCACGATTGGAAAAACAATTTTTAAATTCCTACATGTAAAATATTTGGAGCAATGCTTTGCACATAGTAAATGTTCATAAATGTTAAATACTGTCTGGCTCCCCAGCCTGCTAGTCACCACTATCATCATATTAAATGATAGATATTTTGCTTTATTTTTTAAAAATCACATCAACGCACCTTATACCGTAGTGATGCTAGAAAGGAGGAGTAGAGCAGATAACATTGTACCTTCTACACATATAAGAAAATAAAGGCTTTTATCCAGATATAACTAAAAGGAGGAGGTTTAGCCTTGAATCCAGGTTGTATTATTACTTTATGAGTGTTTTCTGTAAGGCTGATGGAAAAGATACAATCTGTCACATCCAAACAGCTCCAAGGCCAAATCAGTTGGCTCCTTCTGGGCTTTACTTCTCCCAAATGTAAAATAAGAATGAACCCCATAATTCTTAAGTTTGAAACTGAAGATTCTGAGATTTTTTTCTACTTACAGGCTCACAAGTTAACCTGCCAGTTTTATAGGTACACACACACATACACTCACACACTGTACAGACAAAGGCCTCATGGAAGCAGAGGGAAACTCTATGCTGGAGCAAGAAAGGAACAAGGTCTCACCTTGTAACTGAAGCTGACGGCATCATCATAGCCAACCCACTCCTTCCCCTTGTAGGCATATGGGACATACTGATCATCAATCCAGCGCTTCTTCGCTCTCCAGATGAAGGAGCAAATCTGCCAAGAAGATCACCAGGTCAGTTCTGTGAAGTGCCATGGAGGGAAGCGCCAGCAAGGATAAAGAACCCAAGAATCCCTCACTAGGGAGTGAGAAGAAGGTAGACCAAAGAGGGGGTGGGGAAGCCACTCACAAAGGACCTTCTCTCTATTCTGCAAAATTCCTACTACTGCACATTCCTTCCTCTGACATCCATGATGGATAAACAGAGAGAGAACCAAGGAGTGGCTGACATCCTTAAGTAACCAAACCAGGGTTTGGTAAATAATGTCAATACCAAACTACTACAGTAACAGACTTGACTCTGGACCAAACCTGTATCTTTTACAAAGAATTTTCATGAACAAGTATCTCCTCTGTTCATTAAAACCAACATAAACTGCCCCATCTAGGTAGTTATCAAACTAACTTTCGAATCTATAATAAATATAAAGGTCTTGAAGGTAGGGAGAACTAGATTATTGCAATCAAAGAAGCATTGAGTGTGGACTGGGTACCCATCCCTGAGCTGGAGACCATAGACTGCAAAGACGTAGATGTGTTCAAGTTGGGCTGCAGACATTAATGTGTAAGGTTTGTTTTTGTTTTTGTTTTTTTAATTAAAAGTTTAGTCTACCAAAATTTCTTTGACCCATAATGTCCTTCAAGAACACTCCTTCAACTATGTTATCACTCATAACCATGCTTCATTGGACTAGCAGGAAAACATCTCCAGGCAGCCAGCACAGAATAGAGATTGGAGAGACACCAGCACCTCCACTACTACCTCAGGTAAAGACACAGCTCACCCCCTGGCGCCCCTACACACCTGTGTCTATGTGCCTGCTGTTCTCTGCCTAGGAGGTCCTTCCCATCTTGTCATTCCTGCCCATCAGGACTCTACCTGTGCTTCAAAGATCTGCTCAAAATCCACCTGTGCCATAAGACCTTCCCAGGTAATATAGCCACCCACTCGGTGCCCCTTACTGTCTTCTCTTTTGTTTCACATCCCTTGGGTCCATGTCTCTTTCCTTCAGTCAACAGTAAGCTTTGCTGAGATGGGGATTAGGGAGTGGAATTAGGGTAGAGGAGAGAGAATCTGTGATGGGAGATGCCTTGAATTACTTCAAAATTATCTAGTAGTGGGAGGGAGCGATTCAGGGAGCAGGGAAGAAACAAGATTGGCCATGAGTGGTTATTGATTGAAGCTGGGTGAGGGGTATCTGGAAATCAGGGAGAGTGAGAGGACATTATACTAGTCTTTTACCTTGGCAAATGTTTGAAATTTTATATATATATATATATATATATATATATATATATATGTACATATGTATATATGTATACATATATGTACATATGTATATATGTATATATATATATATATTGCAAATATTAATTATGTTTAGGCCATATATTAAGTCAGGATTGACTTCAATATCTTTTAAGATTCTTCTAAGGGGTAAAATATCTGTCCCGCTCCATTCAGACTCCACCTAGTCCCTCACCCCTAACAAAGGACTCAAATAACTTCCCCACAGAAACAGAGAATATCCCAGAGAGTGGGTTTTCCTTGCCCCAGTAAACCACCTCCTTGTCCTGTCTCTAGCCCTCACTCTTGCCTTTCTCCCTGTCCTTGCTCTTGCCCTGGGCTGGGGTGTGAGAGCCCTAACTAATAGACAGAGCTCCCCTTTCCTGTCACCTCATAATAAGCCAAGAAGCCAGCTTGCTTGGTGTACTTCCCTGGAGATGCCGGTCCCACAGCTTCTGCCCACAACTCATTCTTAGAGGCTTTGAGGAGGCGAAAAGTACGTCCATAGGTGGGGAGCCCCATAAGGAGCTTCTCAGGTGCTGCCCCAAGCTTCCGCCAGTAGTTCATGGCATATGCCTGCAGGCAGGAAGAACACAAACCCCTCCTTCTTACCAGGAGCCAATGGCCTGACTCAGGGACAGATTTCTGGGCCACATGAGAGCTTTCTCTTTCTTACCGAAGATTTAGGGTCCTTGGGCACAGAGAACAGCGGGCTATTGTGTCCTGTGAACTTTTCCCAGCTTCCATGTAAGTCATAAGACAAGACGCTGATGAAATCCAGTAGTCTGTAAGGGGCAGGAAGAGGAGATATGAAGATAGTGCTAGCTAGATTTTCAAGTCCGATCATCACAGCGATGACTAGCTAACTAGCTGTAAATTGGGCACCCAACTTCCCTGCCATTTCTGCCTGCGGGGGTGGCCCAAGCTGTGCCGTCCACTTGAGAGGCTGCCCCTGGAACACACAGCTGGTTAGGGACAGCGGTGCATCAGGACCTATGCCATGCTGAGTGTAACCAAGGGAGTGAGCAGGGGTCAGAACAGAAAACAAAGGCATTCAGGCTGATACAAGTGCAACAGAGGTCTGCATAAATCGTCATGTGTAAGCAGTTCTGACCCACAGCATGAAAAAGCTTCTGTCCTTCTACCATTATAGGAACCATTGAAACCTACCTCTTCCAGAAAGCTTTCCAAATGACAAAGTATAATTGAGCCTTACCAGGTCACAGGTGTCCAGGTTAACATGGATTATCTAATTTAATTTTAATCTGTCCAATGCCCTAAGTACTACAATTGTCTCCATTTTAAAATGAAGAAATTGAAACTCAGACCGTTATCTAATTTGTCTAAGGTGAGCCAGCCAGGTGAAGGTGATCTCACTCACCCCTGCCTGGCTGTAGGACCAACACTAGCCAGTTGTGCCCCACTATGTCTCTCATCTTTCCTGCCACCATGGAACCACTCTCCTTAAGTCTCCAAAAATTGCGTGTGATTTCTTGTGTTCTGCATCTGCCTCACTTATCACATCTGTAAATACCCGATTCTTGAGCTTTGAGAAAATTAGTCCAGAGCTGTCCAGAAAGTTAGGAGCTCTCTTTGCCTGATTTTGTAACTTTTGCATGAAGATCTGTACTCTGAAAACTGGGCCTGACTGGGCATTCGTATTTTTGTTTCAGTGGCAGTAGTTGGCAATTAATCCATCTCTATGATACCAGCCATCTGGCACGCAGTGTATGTCTAAGGGGACTCTGGGACAGCAGAGGCCAGACTCCTGGATTCTTCTCCTAGAGACCCAGTGATAGGCGATACAGATCTCTACCCAAGAGGAGGCTGTGGTGTGGACTGGTACTATATCACCTCCCTCTGATCTCCTAAGGAAAGCCCAGAATATAATGGAATAACCCTTGTCCCCACCTATGCTCCTGATCAGCCCACCTCCCAAAGGTACACTTACAGCAGGGCAGGAACTTGAAAAGCTCAAGGACAGTGCTTGGGCACCTCTGGGGTTCTGAGCTTGAGATGTCTCCTTCCCTCCAATGTCCTGCCCGCCAACACAGCACCCACTCACCTTCCCAGGAGGTGCACATCATACGCTTTTTGGATGACACGGGGATCCCCAGAGACAGCAGCGGACAGCAGCAGCCTTGGACGCACGGTGAGCCGCGCCTCCTTCCTGAAAGCAAGCAGGAGCTCCTGGGAAGAAAGAGAGGCGGACGCGAGAACCAGACAAAGCAGAGTCTGGGAAAACAAGACTCATCCAAGAAACCTTTATTTACGGAGCCCCTTGAGCCAGAAGAGTCAGACACAGGCCCTGCCCACCGGCTCGTGAGAAAGGCGGACGTGAGCCAATGTGGTAAGTCATTGAACAGAAGGCTGGCAGCAGGCCCAGGAGCAGAGTTCAGACAGCCCACCTGAGGGAGTCCAGGAGCTGCACAGAGAAGGCATCACTCAGGCTGGAGGGCTGGGCCAAGGCCCAGATGTGACAGAGAGAAAGAGCCGCCATAGGGCCCTTGCTAGGCAGCTCTTTGTCCAACACCTGCAGGTGATGGCAGTAAACAAACTTCTGTTACCGCTGTCTTGCCCTTGTCCCTGGCCTTAGGCTTCCCCTGTGCCCTGAGCCCAGATATGATCAAAGTAGAATCATTTCTGGATTCGGGAGCTGCCAGGCTGGCCTTACTTCAAGTAAGAAGACAAAGGTCCAGCGGTCATGCCTGGGGCTGCCTCTGAGTCCAGGGTACAAGAAGAAGAGGTCCAGACCATCAAAGCCATGTGTCCTCAGGAGGGCTATCACTGAATTGACAAAATTCTGCCGGTTGGCGAATGTGGACAGCATCGTGGTGAACCTGCAGGGAGACCAGAGGTGAGGCCAGGAGTGTTTTCTGCACAACCTCAGCCTCCCTTACAAGACCCCTTGGTTCGCATCCCGTGGAGGGCACAGTGGATGTGACTGAGGAAAGGAAGGCAGGTCGTTGAAACTCTCAGAGCCTCTTAAAGCCCCTCCCAGCGCAGGGCTCCAATACCCAGGAATGGGGACTTCAGGCTCCAGGGAGGATTTGCAAACCACAACTTCCCCTGCCAGATGGAAACAAGCACACAGCCTGGGGTGGAGAGAGCAGGCTCAGGCCAGCTTGGCCTCTGAAAACATGGTCCGCCCCTAGCCACGCACTGTCCCTCTGCTGTTTCCTCGTGGGTAACAACTCAGGCCTGACACCCTGTCCTGGCACTGACTTTCTCTGCCTGAACAGATTAGCAGAGGGAACATGAGCCAAGGGCCAGCATTTCCAGAAAGATCTCTGAGCTAACGTGGCACAGGAGGGCCATGCTCAGACTAGGAGTTCTGTACTCTTTGCCCTTTTGTTCTTTGGCTGTTTGATTGTTTTCTTTTTTTTTTTTTTTTTTTCTAGTGCTTTCTCTTCCACAGTGAAGACACTATTGGAAAACTTGTAACTTATCGGAGTTGAACTTTAAGCAATTTGGGACTAGTCCTGAGTGCAATGATTAGAAAATTAACCAGATTCAGACTTAGGCAGGCCTAGTTCCATTATCTGGTTTCCACCCATAGCTGGGCCATCTCTCATGGTCACCTCTGTGAAATATGGTAAGTTTCTTAAGCTCGCGTTCCTGCTTTTCTCTGAAAATTTAGAATGTAAACAGCCACTTTGCCAGCCTCTCCCAAGTAACCATGAGATAATGCATGCAAAGCCTCTGGCCAGCGTTTGTACACAGCGAATGTTCAAGAAGTCGTGGCCCAGGGAGAGGCGAGGCCTGGAGTCAGGCAGAGCTGGTTCTCACCCAGCTCCCTGCATCTTCCCTGCATTGCTCCTGGGTTCTGTGCCAGGTGCTTCCTCACATCCCCCCACTCTCAGGCCTTCAGGTGTCCCTCTGCTACAGCTACTTCCTCTAAGGCAGGAAGGGAGGCAACTCTCTACCCTTGGCCTCAGCCATGAAAGAGGGGAATAGTTTCTTCAGAGAACATGAAGGCAGTTTGTCACCTCCACACTGCCTAGTGGAGGGTAACGAAGAGTAGCCACCATGCACTGGACACAGACCGTGAGCCCAGGTGCTCAGCTGAGCATCTGGTTTATATCACTTTCTTTCCTCCCATCCTTTCAGGTTGATACCACTGGATCCATTTATAAAGCGAGGAAACCCAGGCCCTGGGAGGCTTGGGGTTTATCCATGTCCTAAACAAGACTCCTCCCCTCTCTGAGGCAAAAGCCCTGCCCCTTCTGAAGCATTGAGGGGACAACTGTGAGCACCCCGTTTTCCCCTCATTTCCCCCCAGCCCCTTTCTCACCACCTCCTGGACCTGCCTTGTCTCCCCTCACTCACCATGGAGGAGAGGTCGGGGGACCCTGGACTCCAGGACCAGGTCAGGACTCGGGGGAGTACTAGCGTGTCTCCCCACAGCCCAGCTGGCTCCCCAGTCTGTCCTCACCTCTGGCCTGCCTGCTCCTCCCCCATACACTGCCCCCACCCCAGAGAGAAGACCTGACAGCACAGTCTCACCTCGATGTGCCGAAGTTCCACCCCCCGATGGACAGCAGTGTTTTCAGCTCCCTGTTCCTGTGATGCAGGACAGAGTCTGTGAGCTGGGTTCTCATTCATTCATTTGGTGACTGGGAAGTTGGGGGGATGGGAGGACAGGAACGGAAGGGGGAGACGGGTGGGGGAACCTAAGGAAGAAAAGAGCAGAGCCCAGCAGAACCCAAGAAGGGAAGAAGGAAAAGAGGGAGAACAACTAGCCCACACAAAAGTCATCACACCCAGGAACCCCCAGGCTGTCCAAAGGCCCCCAAACTCCCCGCTCCCATGACAGTCCCATAAAAAGGAAAAGAAAAAGCAGCCTAAAATTTCACTTCACTCACTTTCTTAGTCAACAAACGTTTACTGAGCAATTATTATTTGCCACTGACTGTTTTAGGTGCTTGAGATACAGCAGTGAACAGAGGATAAGCTCCCTGCTCTCCTCTCCAGAGCTTGTAATCTGGTGACATGGATTTTCCCCACCCTTCTATAACCATGGATGCAGTGACAGACCACCCCCTGGCCAGGAGAGCCCAGGAGTCCTGGGGAGGGAGTACTGAGCACCAGCTCTCTGCTGGGCACTGACCCAGCCACTGGTGAACAAAGATATCACAGACATTGGCCCTTCCCTTGGGGGGCTCATTTGCAGGTGAGAGATGGTAATAGAAACACTAGCATTTGTGAAGCATTTGTGATGCACAGCCCTCTCTGAAGCGCTTGAACAGCATTAACACATAGAATCCTCAACAGGGGGCTTGAAGGGTGAGTTGGGGGATGCCAGGCAGAGAAGAGAGAGGAGGGCATTCCAAGCAGGGGCCACAGCAGCCACGAAGGCAAGGAGGCAACGACGAGCTCAGGGTGCTGGTCAGTGGGGAGCTCCCAAGGCAGGAAAGCTCCGGAGCGCCCTGGACAGGAAGCTAGGACACAAGAATCAGAGGAAAGTTGATGACTCACAGGAGAAAAGGATTAACTCTCTTCCATTTGTAAAATACAACCCCACATCCAAAGTGAACACACCTCTCCTTGAGCTTGTTGAACTCTGGATAGAGGATTTTCTCATCCTGGGGATCCTTAGGAACAATCTGATTGTTGTTCATTGAGGCAAAGGCAAATACCAGGTGGGTGCAGAGAAAGGGGTCCAGGTCCCGGGGCAGGATGGAAGCAGGGCTGGGCCGACTAAAGGCCCAGTTGGTGAAATAACACACCAGTTTGTGGGCAGCACCTGGCAGGGGAGAGCAGGCATTTGTTGGCAGAAACCAAGGTGGGGATGGAGCTCAGCTTCCACAGAGCAGCGTGGACACAGCTCAAGAGGCAAGGCCACTGTAACACCCCCCACTCACACCCCAAAGCTACACTGAAGGCAGGCCCCTCCCTCACTGCTGGGGTCCCCAGGGGCGGGGGAAGAATGCCTTGTGAAACCCTGGTCAGAATGGATCCTGGAGTCTGGATCCTGGCACAAGGAGTGAGCCAAACAGCAGGTGACTGAAAATCCTCTGCTGAACTGCATTGGGTCAGTGATCCCTGACAGGGAGCCAGGGCAGGGCGGGGCTGCAGGAGTGCTAGACATGGAGCACTTCTCAGGTGGACACTCTCCCTGGCTCTGGAGAGGACCACACAGGGTCCTTACCATTGTGGTGTTTCAGCACAAGAACCAGCCCTGCAGGACACAAAGGAGGAATCACACGCAAATTCACAGGCACACCCGGAGTGACACACCCCAGCACACCCTCCAGTTCTGAGTACACCCACCAACTCAAGCAAATGGAGACACACACACCCTTCCCTCTTTCCTCTTCTCTGCACTGAGCAGGTGAAGCCAGATCTATCTAATGTCCTTTCCACTTCAGTAAACACCATACATATACACACATGCTTTGCACAGGGACAACCATGACATTTAGAAATCCCAGCAAAAGCTCTAGGTCAATGGTTCTCAACCCTGGATGCTAATTTAAAAGTAGTGATATACTGGCTCCTCCCCCAGAGATTCTGAATGAAATGGTCTGAGGTGGAAGCCAGGCATAAAAATGTTTAATGCGCAGCCAGGGTACCACCACCGCTCAGATCTCTCCTCCCTGGGCCCCTCTGGCCCTTCACCGTGTCCTGTCCCACCTCTACCTAATCTAGGGCCCCGAGTCGCAGGATGCTTCCCAGGAACCAGCGAGGCAATGAGCTTATGAAGCCTGGCCCCTCCTGAACTAAGAGACATTGTGGGGCTGGGACCCACCACACTCACCAACCCAAAGCAACAGCTTCCCCATCTCCGTGGTCTGAGAGCTGCAGGTCTAGACCTCGAGCCCCTTTATATGCACTTCCCCAGGTATGACCCTGGGACAACACTGGGATAGCCCAGCTAAAACACACAAAACCAGGAACAGTGATTAACGGGCAGCTGCCCCAGAGTCACAGTGACCCCAGCATCTCCCGTCCTCACGCCCAGCAGAGCTATAGCTCTCAGATCCAACAAAGCAACAACTCCCTCTGACACTGGTACAGAGTGGGTGTCCACCATGGGCCCTGGCGAGGGCAGGGCGGTACTCAGCCCCTCTTTCTGGAATTCAGCCCCACGTGGACTGAGTATGAGGAAGAAACACTGAAGGGCAGCAGTAATTCTATTGTTATAAGATTAATGGTTAGAAAAGCTGTGTAATGTAAAGTTTAAAAGGCCCAGTAACATATGTATATGTATAACTGATTCACTTTGTTATAAAGCAGAAATTAACACACCATTGTAAATTATACTCCAATAAAGATGTTAACAAACAAACAAAAAAGGCCCGGCTATGGACTCAGGCAGGCCAAAGTTTGAATCCCAGTGTCAAAAATTAGAAGTTTTATCATCTTGGGCAGTTATTTAGCTCTTTGAGCTTCAGTTTCCACACCTGTAAAACGGAGATAACACTTGAATTTACCTCATAGGGTTTTATATGAATAAAGAGAGAACGTGTGAAAAACTGTTAGTTCAGTGCTTTGCCTATAGTAAGGGCTCAGTGAATGGTAGTAGTTATTAGGGATGGCACAGGAGTTTCCTCCCAGAGCAGGGTTCTCAAACTCAAATGCTGACGGGCAGGTAATGTAAATTGGTGAAGTGGACACAAGAGAATAGTTTACTTTCCACTTGATTAGAATAACGGTTCAAGCCCAGTGATACACTTCAACTTCTCTTATCAGGAGATAACAGAGATTGGTATGAATAGGGACAGAACTCTGAGTAGCCACTAATTTCTGCCTTGCAGAGAAACAGAACCAATCTTTTGGAGGATTCTTCAATTTCCCAAGAGAAGACAGAAATCTGAATTTTTGTTTGAGTCAACAATGTTTGAGCCAGTATATGAGCCAATGGTGACACTGTCATGAGAGGTGTCATGAACCTAAGGAATATAATGAGCCCAATTTGGGACACCTGGGAGGCAATTTTTTAAAAATATAACAATAATATGAAGGATAAATAACACAGATCTATACTCCAGTGTTTTCATGATCTACCAGTTTTCTTTTCTGCTATCGAGGCTCTCAGATCATGAGTAGGTCCCATATTTCAGGGTGTGAACCTCAATCAGGGGGGACCAGAAACTGGATGTTCTCAGTGTATCCACTATGCCCATCCTCTTGGAGACTCACACAGCTCACCTAATCCACATGCCACTGAGGTGCTAACCAGATGTCAATATAATCAATGACACTGGGAAGTAACAATGACTTCCAATACGAAGAAACTAGGAAAGTTTAACTTGTATCAGCAGGTTGCTTGGATATCATGGAATAAGAACAATAAGTTGGTATAGAATGTTTAGGGCAAGGATATTTCACTGAAACTTGAGAAAGCCAGAGAATACCCCACCCAACAGAGGCTGTATCTCCATTTGTTCAGCCCTCTTTGCCTTCCTTTATGTATTCAATGAATATTCACTCAGCACAGGCCAGGCCCGGATAGGCACCCTAGGTATGTGGTGATGAAGACAGTTTCTGCTCAAGAAGCTTCTAGTTTAGTGAGCACATGGATCACACTCCTCAGAGCCAGTGTGTGTCCCTCTCTTATATCTCTTGGATGAGTGCAGAGTAAAGCACATGAGTTTTGTTTCCAAACAACCTTGAGAACCAATTCCCGCTCTGTACTATCATTAGGTCTCACCTGCACGTTCAATGCCACCCTCCATACCTTCAGCTAATATTAATCAGAATCAGGAGATACTTCAGCCTCATAAATGCAGTGCTGGATTAGATTTGGCAACATCTCGTACCATTGGTAGATTACCCCTGGTGCGGTTTCTAACTCTAGTGACCAAGCTCTTACTTGTTTCCCAATTCCCAGCCCATGTGCCTTAAGTCTTGTTTCTGGGTCTCTGCTTTGATTGCTCTTCCTGGTTTATAACTGTAGGCACCACAGTTGGCTCCTAGGGCCTGGGTCCTGACTCATTCTTGCCAGGCTCCTGGGGCCTTACTGCCTGTCTTTTAAGACCACCCTGATGTGAATGTCTGCTTCTCTCTGCTTCCAAGCCTCCCTTCACCCCACCTCCTGCTCCCCAGATACCACATCACTGAGATTTCCCACGAGGTTTGTGCCCTTCCACCCAGACTCCTGCCAGGGGCACTAGCTGTTCATGCTGTACCCATCACAGGGCCAGATCTGCCTGCCAACTGAACCTCCTTCACCTGCACCTGGCTCACTGTTCTGGGCTCCTAGTCTGCTGCAGTGGGCAAGGCTGGATCCCAGACCTCCCTCTTCCATACATTCAAAAGTGACTAATGATGCTGAGAAGAACGGCAAGATATAACAATGGATGCCAGGAGTGACCTCTGCTTCATTCCGGGATGACTGTGCCAAAGAATTGGCAACTAAGCCTCTGTGTGTAGGAGATGATGAACAGTGAAATGCTGAGTGAGGGTCAGGTTGAAAGTCACTGTGCCATGTTGCACTGCTCGCTCCCAATCCTCCTCCTTGGGTTCCCACTGTCAATAGTACAACCGTTGCTTTGTATTTTCTCACACCCACCCAGATGCTTGGAAAACACTCCTTCCCAATGCTCAGCCTGTTCTCACGAAATGAGAAAAGGCACGTACAATACCTTTTAGCTGGCTTGCTGAAGAAATCCCCACCGCAGCACAACCTCTTCCACATTCTACAACACTCAACTAGATGAAGGCAAGATCACAGACGTGAAGGGCTGTAGGTTTAACAGAGCATCTGACCAAACTTTTCATGATTCTCATGTGGAAGAATTGGAGATGTATGACTCGAACAAAAGCAATTGGTTGAATAACATAAGAACACAAAGAGTGTTGACTCCAGATCAGTGTAAACTTGAAATAGCTTTACCACATCTCTAAAATGAAGGAGATAGACTAGAGCATTGTTTCCCAATATTTAATATAAAAGATGATTTTTGGTTGTACATTAGGATTTTTTAATTTTAATATTTATGTGTTTTGTTTGTTTGTTTGTTTTCTTTTGCAGTACACGGGCCACTCACTGCTGTGGCCTCTCCCGTTGCGGAGCACAGGCTCCGACGTGCAGGCTCAGTGGCCATGGCTCACGGGCCCAGCCGCTCCGCGGCATGTGAGATACTCCCAGACCGGGTCACGAACCCGTGTCCCCTGCATCGGCAGGCAGACTCTCCACCACTGCGCCACCAGGGAAGCCCCTATGTGTTTATTTTAATGTGTGTTATAAAATGTAATTATCCAAAAACGCCATTATTTCTTAGATATTATTTAAGTATAAAACTTGAGGCAATTTGAAAAAGAATATTTTAATAAAGCAGTAAAGGTAACACTATTTATTCAATCTCCTTAGAAGTCATTTTGAGAACATCACAATCCTATAACCCAGCAAGTTCACTTTTAGAAATCTGCCATGCAGACATATCTGCCCAAAGTACACAAAGAAAGTATGTTCACTTCAGGTTTATTTGTAACAACAAAAGACAAACAAAACAAAAGGGAAATCCCAACTGACTAAATAACCATTATTTGGAGACATATAAATATGTTGCTACACATCCATGCAGTGGCCTCTTTCTTTACTTTTTAAGCCAGTTGTTCTCCATTGGGCAATAATTTGCTCCCCATGGGACACTTGGCAAAGTCTGGAGGCATTTTTGGTTGTCACGATGGAGGCAGGGGTGCTACTAGTACCTAGTGGGTAGAAGCTGAGGATGGTGCTAAACACCCTACAGAGCACAAGACAGCCTCCCACAGCAAAGAATAATCCACTACTGATAATTGATAATCCCAAGGGTGAAAAAAAACCCAGTTAAAGCAGAGTTGCTTTCCTTGCTCTTCTTGTTCTTTTAATTTCATCACAAACCAGAGATCAGGTATCTACTTAACCCTTATTACCCTAAATTTAAAATTAAATAACTATTTCATCTATTGTGAGCTCTTTTAGTCAGGATACGTGACTGATTTATCTTTGTAGCTCCAGAACCAGCAATTAAATGGTCTGCCTTTGGAATGAATGAGCTAAGGAAAAGCACAGCCAAGGAGCATACTCTGGATTAGAAAGAGGCAACTGGCCATTGTGGCCAGTTATAGAAGCAGGGATTGTAACGGCTATATTTTATATTACTTGTTTTTATCTTCCCATTTCCCTCCTGTTACTTTATATGAGGGCACTGTTGATGGCTAATTGTTTAGGTTTAAAGTGAAATTATGAACAAATGAACATCATCCCATGATGATAAATAGCTGATGGAACTTTGGGCATCTCTTGTGTTGAGGTCACGACATTTGACCTGCATTTCGGACAAGACAGGACAGTAGGGGGCAAACAGGCTGGACCACAACAGATATTTTCCAATTGTCCCTCTATCTCCC